TCAGTTGTCAGGTCACAAATCTCGCCCTCCCCTTTCCACCCTCGAGAAAAGAGGTCTCAGATCAGCCCAACTAGTCCCCTGTACCTCACCCCAACCTCTAACCGGATTAGGCGATTTTGCCGAGCTTTTTCCCTGTCAACCAAACTTTATCCCTGTTTCGTACAAGGGTTACTAAATTCTCCTTTCTAACCACCGTACGAACGTGCACTTGATTTATTCTTTTTCGCGATTAAAAGTTGCCCTAGAAGCATTCAATTAACAATTAACTAATCGGTGGTGGTGGTTTGGTGGTGGTGGTTTGGTGGTGCAGTTAACTTGGTAGTGCTAGTTGACTTGGTAGTGCAGTTGACTTGGTGGTAGCGGTAGTAGAGGCTTAAGTAATCAAAAGGATCTCACCCCAACCAACTAGTGGAGTAAGGTCGTAGGAAAGAGCCAATAGAATCTTTAGGAAGCCGCGACCCGCTTTGGGGTGAGGTTCAGGGGACTAGTTGGGCTGATCTGTAGACTCCGAGAAAACTCAGGCCAGGTCCAAGGGGGGACGTCGTCGCGGCATTCCCTGATTGGGCAGTTAAACGGCCACACACACCACATACACAACGCGCCCCTGCTTCAAACACAACCCAAGCAACTCCGGGAACCCAGGCGGTTGGGACTGGACAGGGCGGGACTTTGACGCTAGCCTCTCTTCAGCCCAGCCCAGTCCAGCCCAAGCCGCCTGCTAACCACTAACTTGGTCCACGGTACCCGCGATCTCCGTACTCTACCTATACAAAGGATGACATATATACCAGCCAAGTGCATGTGTACATATAGTACATATCTCTACAGGGCCCAAGTAGCTACGCAGTACTCGTACCTACCAGCGTCCGTGAGCTAGAGGTAAATCACCCGGCGGCTGACCGACCCGGTAAAGAGGTAGAGCCCATCGCTTTTGGCTCTTAGGGCTAGCTAATGAACCTGGCCTAGCTGATCTACCAAGCCAGCCAGCCAAGGTATGGGTGGGAGGAGATACGAGCATGTGAATACGTGCGTGCGTACACCTGCTACGATACGACTGCGACGGCAACAATAACTCCCTTCGCACGACACGGGCTTGCCAAACCCCCCGGGGGCCGACAAAATTGTCGGACACAACCGCCGGACATACCGCACCCCTGCGCCTAGGATCAGAAACGATAAACGGACGAGATTGCCCAACTCGCTCTATTAGCCTACTACCGCACCTGGCGAAATGTCTCGCCTCTCCCTTTCTCTTCTCCGCGGAGGGACTGCTTATCCCCATGTTGTTAAAACCCCCCCTCCCGGGAAAGGCGAGACTACTTATGCGTAGGTATTATATGTATGCGTATATGGACGTATGTAGGCTAGTCCGTTAGGTTATGCACGTCAGGGAGGGCACATTCCGGCGGTGATAATCCCCGGACTTTATTGGGGTTAAAGGGTCTTATCTCTGCATGTCCGTCAAGACATCTCACACCAGGCGGGAAACCTGATATCCTCTCCTCCTCTTCCTCCTCCTCGTTTTCTTCTTTCGCTCCGCTTGATTGTTCTGTATACATAACCTTCTAGCTTATTAGTCCGGGGCTCAGGAGGTGTAACTTAAGTGCTCCGTATTGTATCGTGTCCTGGATCATTTGCTCGCTCCAAGCTCTTATCTGCATGATCAGATAGCCTGCTAACCTTCCTGGGCACGAACTACCCAAACCAAGCCCGTAACTGAAAACTCCGGCTCGCTAACCCTACCTGGGAGGGGAGGGGGGGGGGGGGGGGGAGGAGAGATGAAGGCCCGACGGCTCAGCGTCAAGGCCGGCCGGCCGATCAAATAATTGACTAACTCACGCCATTCCTACTTAATGTGCATATCAAATATATACCAAGCTTTGAAGCCTGGCTCACCGACCGACCAGATGAAACCAGGTGACGTGAAACCAGACGAAACCACCCTTACTTACATCCCACCCACCTATACGTACGTACATACGCAACGTACGGCATAACACCGGATTAGTAGGCACTCCCCAATTCATCCGTTCGCTCGTTTCGGGCCTTGCGACAGGGAGGGAAAGGAAGGGAGGCGAGGATGTTCCGATGTTCCCGTCGCTTTCCCCACCTGTCATTCGTCCCTTTTCCTTCGGGACCGGAGAACCTCCCCCACCCCCCTCCCCCCGTCTCTTCTCCGGTCGATCCGTCGCATACGTCACCTCCGGATACCGCATAGGGCAGTTTGCGCGCGGTCGGAAAGAGGGAGGGGGGGGGGAGATGTAAATGCGCCGCTGGGCTAATCTACGCTATGGTGCACTACGATCGACCGATCGCTGCCTGCTTACCCATGTAGGCACCTAGCACGCCTTGTGTCCCTCACTCACCCTCTATAGCCTCCCCCTGAAGGTTACTCGGATCTAAGACTTCGAGCCACGAACAACGCGCTGCAACATGCTAGGGCACACGCGTAAAACATACCTACCCTACTTACGTGCCCGCCGCCTAGGCATGTGTAGCGTCTGCGCGTATACGACATTATCGCACATGCCCAATTCACACCGCAGGCAAGCGGGGTAAGGGTAAACCGCGATCCCGCGCAACCACGCGCGCCGGCTCCGCCGGGGCCCGCACTGGTCCGGGACCCCGCGGGCCTAGCACGGGAGTAGCGTAGATGGCCCTGCCTGTCTCTCCAACTCAGTCTCGGTCTCGCCCTCTCCGTCTCTCTCTCTCTCTCTCTCTCTCAGAGGGCAGCTAGAAGCTAGAAGCTCGAGCGCCATGCGTGACGTAGCCTAGGGCGACGCCAGCGTCGGACGGCCAGGTAGGCTTGCGCCGGGTTCTGGGGCTTGCTTGCGTGCCCTAGTAGTTTGGTGGCCGTAGACACGGTAGGGAGTGTGATGGCCTAAACGGTCGGTCGGTCGGTCAGGACAGCAAGTCAGGAGGAGGGGCGTCACGAGAAGGGGGTCTAAGGGGACTAGGGTAGTCAGGTAGAGTTGGATTTCAATTAGGCTCGGTGTCGTGCGCGGCATGTGGTCTGCGACCTCCCCGTGTGCAGTGTTGTTGTCTGGTAAGGTAAAGGTAGGTACTTTTGGTAGGTACCTAGGTATCTCATATGAGGTAGGATTGTAAAGGTACCTAGGTATCCCGGATACCTACGAGTACAGAGATTAAGTTAGCCTAGTCCCTGGCCGTCGGTCGCGCACCGTCCCTTCCCTCCCTCTCCCCTGCAGGACAATTCCTTCACCTGTCCCTACTCTGTCGCTACCCGCGTGCCTTATTGCTCAGGTACTTAATGTAAGTGCCTGTCCATGTGAGGAAATCCGTTGTGCCGGATTACCACCTCCTATCTTCTTACCGCCATTACTACATGCTAGCTACGTAGGTAGACATATCTGTGTATACCTCTTACTGATCTCGGTATTCCATTCTCGTTACTGTATCCTCCATCGTCCGCCACGCGCCTTGTTGACGACGACTTGGAGATGTCGTACTCGGTAAGTATCTAGGTACATAGGTATAGTTAGGTACCTAAGTTCACAATTATATACCTAGGTAGGTACCTCTTACCGTTAAACAGCCTTACCTCATTACCGATATCGCGCCCGCACCGCACCGCAACTCCATAACAGACACGTATTTTTTTGTCTTTCCCTTTTGCCTTTTTCAATTGCCTTCTGTCCCCACAGGCCCTAACCCCAGCCCAGCCCAGCCCAGCCCAGCCTGCTCCGTGTATACCTAACGTACAGTCCACATTAGGTACTTGATACATACCTCCCCAGCTAAGGGGGTACTTCTCAGGTAGGTACCTACCTAGATAGAGGGAAGTATGCATGTACCCAACCCAGGATACCTCTCCCAAGCCACGTTCAAGCAACCTCTGTATTGCTCCTCCTACTTGCTCCTGCTCTTCAACTCTCTGTATGTATACACATCCAACGCTAGACCGCAGCACATGACTCAAATATTACCCATGTTCGGCTTATGAATCATATGCTCTCACTTCCTCCACGCCCTCGATAATTACAAACTAGTAACCTAAGTCACGCACGGGTCTGCGGGCTTTCGGGTTCGAGTTTTTGTCTTTCTTTTTCTACTTATTCTTTTCCTACGATGCTCGGTGGAGCTTATGCATACAATTGTTAACTACTGTAATGGATGTGCCATTCGTCCTCGGCTAGTTGTGACTGCGTGTACTATTGAGAGCGCCACGAGGATTAGCCACCTACACGTATGTTTCTCGAGGGCTATTTCATCTTTTGGGGTAATTATTTGTTTTGTGCGATGGAGATGGGCTTTAAACTGCCTCCTCTTTTCGCGAGGATAGTAAAGCAATTCGCTACCATACAATTGGATCTCGGCGAAGCGAGGTCATCTAAACAAAGGTCTCCTCTCTTTGCTTGCCGCCTTCTCCCAACTCTCCCGCTCAACCTTTAGAACACTTCCCGTCCTCCATTCCCTTCCCCCAACCGCATGCCAACGCAGGGCGGCATTATGTACTATGCATTATGTACGTACCGCCTGACGTAGTCGGTTCCGAGATGTAGGTAGGTTGTTCCTAGGGAGCGAGAGGGAAAAAAAAACCGTCGTCTCCACCAAGTTCTCTTGGATAGTTGCCCGATTCGGCAACGCTACCCCGATAATCCTCCAATTAAATAAAAAAGAGACATGCGTGTGAGCGGTGAAATATCCTCCCCCTCTCCTCTCCAGAATGCCAATGCGAAGTCCAGCCTGTTTCCGGACTTCGGTTATGCCCGATACCGTCCTACTTCACGCCAACCATGGTTTGACCAACAAGTAAGGAAATATCAAATCAAACGGAATTCGCTTGCGCTTGTAAAAAAAAAAAAAATGCCATGCCGCCATTGGTATTTTTTGGTGAAACGCCGCCCAGATGCAGATGAAGAGCACGTCCCAATGTTTACCTGTCCCGATGCCGATGCAATTCATGAAGAGGTAGAGTACGGGATGATGAGTAGTGGTAGAGGGTGACGGGAGTAGTGGCAGTACGCCAGCCAGTGATTTGGTACTACTGGCAAGGATAGGACTGACACCGTTAGTAGACCGGTATCGTGGATACTATTCGTGACGGGTGTCGCGGCGGCAGGTAATATCCTTCGTTGTAGAAGTCGGCCTTGTTGTCCTCCTCGTCTTCCTCTTCTTGCCTCTGGTCGAAGCACTTGGTTGTGACTGCGCTCTCCCTCTGCTTCTCTGAGAATGTGGGTATGGATGCGGCGGGGGGTGACGGGGGCATTGCCTCGTCCTCTGACGAGTCCGAGTCAAGCTCGAGCTCGGGCGGCGATGCAGTGAAATGCGAGGGGGATCGTGTGAGGGACAAGGCGTCGTAGTCCTCATCGTCGTCCTCGAAGTCATCCTCCTCCTCTTCCATCTCGTCCATCGTGTGTAGTTGAGGGGACGGCGGCACCGCGATGTGAGAAGGCACCCGCCTCAGGGGGACCGCGTCGGCCATCTCGACGTCTTCATCCTCGTCGTCTGAGTCCGTGTCCGAGTCAGAGGAGTCGGCCTCCCAGTCGTCCTCCACGGCAACGGAGTCGGCCCATTGTACGTGTCGCTCTCCCGCGTGGGGCGCAGCTCCCCGGACGGATTGGTTGAACCAGCTCTCCTGTTCCCGCTCGGCTTCGGCGAGCTCGAGCATTAGCGAGTCCAGCAGGTTGGCGTGGCCGACGAGGAGGCGGAGGTTGTGGTCGGGCCGGGCAGCCTCGCTGGAGAGTTTTGCCCGGGCCTTGTGTGCGAGTAAGTAGGTCTGCGTGACAGACATCATCCTCTTCTTCCGCAGTGGTTGTGATGATGAAGGGTGCGGCTGCGAAGGAGGGTGAAAGGGGGGCGAGGTGGTGGTTGTGGAAAGCATTTTGTATGGGTGAAGAAGGTCGGCGTCTGGGTGTCAGTGTTGAATATGGTTATATTATGGTGCAATAGGTTGCAATTTTTCTCTCGCTATGTCGTGTGTGAGTCAGGCACCGATATCCGGCCAGGAGGTAGGTAGAGGCAACGACCGAACAGCAGGTCCTAGTCTTTTATGTTCACTTAAGATCGCAGCGGAAACGGGGAGTGTCCTCGGCAGGGGTGCGGGATAGCCCAAGGTACATATATATGTGTACGCAATGTATTTGACGGGTGTGGGTGGGTGGATTGGATGTACCGTAGGTCCTACCGGGGTCAGCCAGCCGTACCTATGTCCCTTCAATATGTCAGCGTCAAGCCCATCAGTGTGTGCTGCGTTGGCCTGGCTGTCGGGGCCTAGCTCGCCAGGCATCGATGTACCTGCAGGCAGGGTAGGGGAGGTACAAGTACCCCCAGGCAGGTACCTAATGTAGGCAGGCAGGTAGGCCGGGGGGGTGGGGGGGGGTTACTCGTACCTCCACTCAAATTTGCAACCCTCGATAGTACGTGTAACTCTACCGGCCGCCCGTTGCGGGATTCGAGCTTGCGGTGTGTGTGGAGTGTGCGTGGGTCTGTGTTGGAAGTGCGCCGCGCCTATGGTAAGAGCGGCGTAGTGTACCCAAGATTTGCTTGGATCCTCAGATGTTGATTTCCTTTATCTGTCCCCCCGCTCTCTTTATTTTTCTGCTCCCCCTCAAGGATAGATGGGAGCGAGTTGTCGGTGAGGTAGTATGCAAGGTTATGTAAGATGTCGATGTGTTGTTGGAGGCGTTATGCGTTGCGAGTCTGGACCGTGCCACGATCTCAAGATCGATCTCAGGCTATTGGGGTGAGGCTCTCAATAGAATGGAGAGCGACCGGGAGGTTGCTGGTTTGCTTTGGCTCGTTTGCTTTCTGGGGTCGACTAGAGCGAAATAGTTCCGCGCATAGGGAGGAAACCAAGCTGAAGGCTGGATCTGGAGAGACGGGATGGGAGCGAGGAGGGGGGGCTGATTCTTTTGTAATGGTCGTCTCTACGTCGGAAGTGAAGTATGTACATATGGGGAGCACTCTGCCTCGCAAGTAAATCGGATGGGGTTTGTCATGGACTTTGGCTCGGGCTTAAACGGAGAGACGGGGTCTCGGGGCATCTCTAATGCTTGGCTACCCTAAGTGTGCGGCGTGGCAGTACCTCGAGTTTCTACAGGTATCCAGACCAGTATGATTAATAACCGCCCGTACTAGGTATACCCAAGGCAGTCAAGGCAACGAACCTTACAGCCTTCGCGCAGACCGTGGGGCCCTATTAAAACTACCGGTTACAGTTAGTACGACACGGAACATCAGACATCTCTACCGGGGCCGCCTGGCTAGGACATCAGGCAGGTATCTACGTTACCCTGCTCAAGATGTGCCCATCCTCCATCAATTCAACTCATCGTACGGAACGCGGATGCGCGACTCCCCAGTGCCCAGTAACATGTACTAGGACTGTGAGATGCGCATATACCTCCTCTCCCTCCCCGTCTCCCAAGCTACCTAGCTCTGCAAGTAGGAGGGTATGGATGTAAGTCAATGTAAGTCAGGTTGTCCTGGCCATGTCACCCTCTTCACCGCATTTAAGAGGCAGGTATCTAGTGGCCTCCACGTATCATGGAGGTAATGGGTGGGTGGTGCGTCGTCTCTGTACACATGTATGTACTTCCGTCATGTGTTGGTTGGGGTATTTGGCGTGCCAAGCCTTTCACAAATGTTGATTCACGGTTTTATACCTACCTAACCCCGCCAGCCAGATTTCGAAACAGTTTCTGCCTTAATAAGACGTAAAAACCTTGCGGGAAAGCCATGCATACCTATATCATGACTTCGGGTAAATTTGATGTTTCGCTCGCAACTCTGCAAAACATTCCCGTTATGCATACCTATCATTACCTTGCAATCACCCCCTTCCTTAGGTTACCGCCTACAGTAACCTGGGTAGGTACCTATCAATGTACACGCCTTAAGCTATTAATTTCCCGTGTGTGACTCCTCATTATTGTATGTGTGCCTTCATACGTCCCGTCCTTCCGTCGAGATCGTCTGGTCTCCATCTGCCCGTTGTCTTGGTCATCGGATTCTTCGAGTATCCATTCGCGAACAAGGATCATCTGGTGTGAGGGAGGTGGATAACGCTCCCCTCCCCCACTATTGCTAAAATCTGAAATCAAAGCTGTGTCGTGTCCAGATGGAAAAGTCGGAATTGACTGCTGACCGATTTGTGGCTTCGCAATCAATAACACCCACCTTAGCGAGAAAAATCCCTCCTCGGGTACCTATGGATATGACATGGTACAGCATAGGTGACAATCGTATAGCATTACTATACGCTAATATCCGGGAAGAGGTACATTGTGTACCGGCCAACGGGCGCCGGGACGCCTTTGTCTGTCTTCGTGATGTGTTGAGGTCATTGCTGATGAATCGGATCTTTGTCGGGATCGCTCATCAATACGTACATGAGCCGGCAAGCTATCAGAGATACCCAGGTTATGTCGCCATCTACCGCCGATCGGGAACGGGTGGGTAACGGAATTCCATCGATTAATAATAATACCGCTCCCATCCCACACAACCAACCCCAGTTTCCCATAGCCGTGGCGAGGCGCAACCATAGGGCCGAGGCGATTAAAAGTCGGCCCAAGTCGAGTCCGCCATCGTCTCCTCCCCTCCGTATCCATCCGGGAGTGGGTGAAGAGAGCCAAGCAACAACGATTTGATGGCATCCGTGACACCCACGACGCTCCCCGACGACAACTGCCATATTCCAGGCCCAATATTCCAGGCCCTTGTCTCGTCACGATTAGTGCACTCAAATGCTCAATCCAGATCCCAGAGTTGGCGAGTCTCCGCAGTCGCTTATCGCCCAAAGCCCAAAAGCGGATCGATCGATCACCGGAGAGCACATGCATGATGCCAATGCGAGTACAATTTAGTGTTCCTTCGTTATTATAGAGTTATGTTGTAACGTGAATATGTAAGTACCGATCAAGCCGGCGCAGCCTTATTTCTCTCTTGCCTAGCAGGAATAGCAAAATGGGTTGCTTTATTCCGATCAACATCGTCGTGGTAGGAATATGCGATACGTAGGTACCTATTGTACATATTGAAGCGAACGGCTGTATTGAATTGCCTTAGGTACCTAGGCAGGTGCCTACCGGGACCTGCCTCCCGTATGTGTAGCGTACTAAGCCACGATATACGTGTAGACGTATGTATTTTCGCCTAGCACGTTCCCAATCAAGTGTGTGTTGTTTAATCGACAATGGCTAGGTATGTGTACATACAGCCAGGCAATTCCCGCCTTATCCGCATACATCTCTGCCAATGTGCTCAGGATCAATACTAATGTACGTGATGCTAGGTAATTTGTGCGAATGGCTGCGGACGTAATCACGAGGAATATCCGGGTCCATCACAAGGGCCTGCTCCGCAGACCCGCGAAGGCAACAACACTGTGACTAGAGCATCGCGCACGCTGTATGGACTCGAGCCGTTGCAACGCCGCCCCCACCGCGTGGATGGGACTTATGATGTGCAGCCTTAGGCTCTGGCAGATACCAACGGTACACGCAATGCATCGCGACCGACTCCGACTAGGAATTTGGAGGGCAAGTCAACCTCGGACTTACGTAAGGTGTCTACGTAGGTGACGGCAATTCGCTCCCCGCGGGATGTTGCGAAGGACCCGCGACCGAAGCGAAACACGCGGTTCGTTTTCGCTCGCTTTCCAGGGAAATCCGTTTGTCCACATGGCGCAGGTTGGCAAGACGCGTGCGACGCAACATAATTCCCGAGCCCAGACGGAAGGGGGGGGGAGAGCGAGAGGACTGCGTCACGAGGGAATCAGGCGGTCGCATTCGCTTTGAATGCGTTCGCTTCACACTGGCTGCCAATGCGTATCGATGCTCGGCGTCCTCGCCCAAGTGACAAACAGGGTAAGAGGTCATCTGCTTTTCCTCATGAAACAGGGTGGAAGACAGTAAGGACTTGTCCGCAAATCGGGCTGATTGGGCGTCATCGCCGCCTCCCCACCCCATATCCTTCATCTCGCGACGACGACGACGACAATAACAACACCAACGCAGCCAGCACGAAGAGACCATAGGATTTAATTTGATGCGACCTCACAACCGGTCGACGGATTACCTGCCAGATTGTCACTAGCCCAAACTCGCACCTTCGCAAATTTCATCCACATGTTGGCGTTGGATGGATGTTGATGACACAACTAGTACGCCCGCAAAGATCAATAAGCCAGATAGAGGGAGGCAAAATGCGGAGAGCCAAGAAAAAAGACTTAAGAGTGGAATTACCTACCTCTTACCTGGTGTAGGTACCTTTTGCAAAGCCCAGCACATTAGGCCTCTCTTATGTACCTAGGTACCTATATCCCCAGGTAAACGTCTTATTGGTATACATGCCTGCCTACTGAGAGGTAGACACCTACCCTAGGTACCAGTATAGGACGTATTGAGCCGTGTGTCTGACGCGATCTATTACGTTTGCACCTTTAACACCTGTATATCAACTCGTTAAACGTAAGATAGCACTTGAATTCAATGGGATGGATTGCCAGAGAATCCCCATAGCACAGTTTTATGATCTCAGGCGATAGGTGAGTGAGTAATAAGGTATTGTGGTTTAGCTGTGCAATACCTTATAAAAGTTACCTACGTGTACCTAGATGCTGCTGATCCATGGATATACATAGGTACCTAGGTACCTAGATAATGCAATGTGAAAGCCCTTGTCAGGTATAACCTCGGGCCGGCAGCACCTGGGCTGTACCTAGATACAGGTAGGTACCTTCAGTCTGATAGATTAGGTACCTAGGTACCTAGGTACCTCATGCATTGTATAGCACTTTAGACCTGGGTGTTTTTTGTAGGGCTGAAATTTGCATTACCTAGGTATCCTTCTAGACTTCCCTGTCACTCGGTAACTTTAAGAGCCCGGGAAGTCACAGGACTCCGGACTTATTCATCCCGTGCGTCGTCAGATCCCATCCCTTCCGCCCATTTCCAATCGCGCTTCGAGACCTTCAGATGCGCAGTGCGGTATTATGCGGCAGCCTGATAGAGCCCAATTTGCTCTACTTTCCCCAGGATCTTCGCATCAGCTACCTACGTATAGATGCATGGTGCCATCTGTCTAGTTGTATGTATGTCAGCAACTCAGCCCAGTCTGCGACGGTTCGACTGCTCCTTTTCTCACCTCCACCAACCCAAGACGGACAATTCGGGGCTTG